TTTTTAAAGGAAGGCCTAAGTAAGAAGGTAATGAATGTTTCAGTAAAAATGGGATTAGTCAGGGGCAGGGCCTGTAACATCTGGACAGAGTTTGTACGATTCAGAGGAAATGCAGGTGTATAGCAGTAAGGGGCTTAGCTCAAAAATAGAGCCCTGCCTAGAATCCCCCAGTAAGGGGCTGGGGTGTAACTCAGTGGTAGAGCCCCTGCCTAGAATCCCCCAGTGAGGGGCTGGGGTGTGGCTCAGTGGTAGAGCCCCTGCCTAGAGTCCCCCAGTGAGGGGTGGGGTGTGGCTCAGTGGTGTTGGAAAGCCCTACAATGGCTAGGCGAGCCTAGCAAGTGCAGAGAGCTTGCAGGAACAGGGAGGAGGTCAGTGTAGCAGAGGGAACTAGAGGAGGAGGTGACAGACAGGACAGGCCTGTTCTGCAGGCCGTGGTGAAGCTTTTGACTTTTACCTAGTACAGAACACTGAGGACGTTGTGGGCTAAGTGCTACAGGTGACCGGAACAGTGGCACATATTTATAACCCCAGCACTAGGACATCGGGGCAGAAGAATGAAGAGTTTAAAGTCATCTTCGGCAACACAAAGAGTTTAAGGCCACCCTGGGCTGCAGGAGACCCTGTCCCAAACAAACAAACAAACAAACAAACAAACAAACAAAGAACTGCATGGTCTGGTTGTGGGTTTTAATGGGACCAGCTGGCTATATGTGTACAGGCAACTGCAGGGTGGAGGCAAAGAGACCAGCGAGGGAGAGCAAAGGTCCACACAGCGATTCTGTCATCTTGGACTAGGTGGTAACAGAGATCAGCATCCCCAGGTTGTCAGGCATGGTGGTGAGCATCTGTGACTCCAGCACTTGGGAGGCAGAGGGAAGAGTGCCACACGGGGTGACATGGCAAAGACCCCGTCACACACTGATGAGGAAGACAGAAGAGAAGAAAGAAAAGACTCTGAAGGCGTCTGAACTTCGAGCTGCAGAATTTGCTGATGGCCACATTCCCGGCAAGTTCTTAGCGGAGAGCGGCAGTCACCATTGTGTCAGATGGTGTTCATCCGGTCCCCACGGCGTCATTATCGGAGCCTGTGAGGTGGCTTAGTGGGCAAAGGCACCTTTAGGGCAGGCCTGGTGAGCTGGGTTCAATTCTGGGGACCACATAAAAGTGGAGGGACAAAAGAGATTTCACAAATGTGTCCTCTGGTCTCCACATCTGCTGTGACAGGAAATTCCCCAAATACACTTCTGCGCCTGTGCACACATCACATGCACACACACATCACAGGCACACACACATCACACGCACACACACATCATACGCACACACACATCACAGGCACACACACACATCACATGCACGCACACATCACAGGCACACACACATCACATGCACACACACATCACATGCACACATGCGTAAACACATACACTAATACTCCACTTAAAAAACATTTTTTTTAGCCGGGCGGTGGTGGCGCACGCCTTTAATCCCAGCACTCGGGAGGCAGACACAGGCGGATCTCTGTGAGTTCGAGGCCAGCCTGGGCTACCAAGTGAGTTCCAGGAAAGGCGCAAAGCTACACAGAGAAACCC